CTTCCTCTTCAAACACAGAATAGACAACCCTTGTTGGCATGGCTCTCGGGTGTTTTCTCACCATCATGTACCATTGTCTATGGTTCTCTTCTTGTTAAAGTTACAGAGACTTTTAAGGGCTTTTAAGACAGGGAAGGGCTGAGCAGTTAAGATCACTTTTTGCTCTTGCAGAGGGCCCTTGTTCAGTCCCCAGCACTGAATCGACATGGTTACAACCATTTATAACTCCAGTTCCAAGGAATCGGCTCTCTTCTGATCTCCATGAGCTTCACACAGCACATGGTGCACACACATGCATGCAGGTTAACATACGTGCATATAGAATGAAACAAATAATTCTTAAAAATACTAACCAGGGCCAACCTCCAAGGGTAATGATGCATAAAACTGATCTATAAATTGCACCTTTTCTATCTGGGGATTTTTACCATGGAGAAGTCTTTCTGTTAACCGAAGAAAGATTTTGGTTGCAACTCATTCTGTGGCTTTAAGCTAGTTGGTTCTGCTTGTTTTAATTTCTTTGCAGGCTGAGTTCTTTGGTTTGCTTGCTAGTTTCTTTCTTTATTTTTTTAATGCAAGAGTTAAAATTACCTCTATCTTGCAGTGACCAAATACTTGGCAGGGAAAAAAAAAAAAAAAAAAAAAAAAAAAAAGCTCAAGGGAGGAAAGTTTTACTTTGCTAATGATTTGGAGAGATGTCAGTGCATCCTGAAAGGGAAAGTCTGGCAGCAGTACTTTGTGCCACGGTTGTTCATTTCTCTGTGGTACAGGAAGCAGACCCCAGCGACCCACTTTCACCAGGTAGGCCTTACACCTTATACTCTACAGCCTTCGAAACGGTCCCCGAGATGGGCACCAAGCATCCAAAGCATGAGCCTGTGAGGGGCGTTTCAGATCCACACAGTGACAACAGGCAAGGAATTTAGAAGTAGTCATGTTAAAGGTCATGTCATGAACCTGTATCTTACCATCACACCAGAAGCAACAGCACCACCAGGAGAACAGAAACATTTTCTTTGGATGCAGAACAAACTATCCCTTATCAGAGTGGCTCTCATATGCTTTCCCAGACATTATCTGCCAGCAATGTTGCTATCTTCATGTTAAATCCCATTTATATGACAATCCAGTTTATCAGCTGTAGAAGCCAGCAGCATTGCATCCGACAACTTAATGAAGGGTGACGTTGACACACATGACAAGACACATATTCATCAGTCTCTCAAGCTGTGCTTGAAGACTCTTGTCCACGCTTCCTCAACTTTCAGTGTGCACGGTGCCTCCAGGCATTAGGAACCACACAATGGACTCCCTTTCCCATTAGACAATTGTTTTCCCATTGGAATTTCTCATCTCATAATTTATCTTTTATTATTTCTTTTTTTCTATTTAGGGGTGTATCTCTCTCTCTCTCTTTCTCTCTCTCTCTCTCTCTCTCTCTCTCTCTCTCTCTCTGTGTGTGTGTGTGTGTGTGTGTGTACGAATGGATATGATGTTCACAGAAACAGGAAGGTGTTACTGATTCCCCTGAAGCTGAAGTTAGAGTGGTGAGCCACCTCATGTGGATATTGGGGCTAGGATTTCAGTTTTCTGCAAGAATAGCAGGTGCTCTTAATCACTGAGCCATCTCTCCAGCCCCATGAGTAAGTTAAAATGTTAGCAATTACATCTTTATTAAGAGATCTGTGCTCTTGATCTCTTTCCCAGTTTCCCAAATTTTCAACAGTATGCATGTAATACATAATCAAGAAAAGGTAGGTTGTCTTGTAAGTTGTCTTGGTTAGGGTTTCTATTGCTGTGAAGAGACACCATGGCCATGGCAACCCTTGTAAAAGAAACATTTAGTTGAGGTGGCTCCTTACTGTTTCAGAGGTTCTGTCTATTATCATGGTGAGGAGCACAGCAACGTGTAGGCTGGAATAGCAGCTAGAGTCCTACATCTTTCAGGCAACAGGAAGTCTACTGAGACACTGGGTGAGATATCCTGACCGCAGGAGACCTCAAAGCCCACCCCCACAGTGACACACTTTCTCTAACAAGGCCACACCTCCTAATAGTGCCACTCCCTATGAGATTATGGGGGCCAGTTACATTCAAACTACCACGCAAATCTGGATGTTGTTGCCGTTTGTGACATTCAGGGTGTGTGCACCTCAGTCACTACCTGGGTCTCCTCTACCGAGACCAAGAATCTTCTCTCATTTCTCACTGCCCATGCATGAAAGGCCTATGCAGTGAAAGAGAACATTTTTGGGTGTAGGATGAAGAGGTAAGTAGAGGGCTGTCATGAGAAGGGCCTCAGGGACTGAGACGGTAAGACAGCGACTGCGTGGGATGTTAAGGAGAGGCAATCTTAGGAGAAGAGCAGATCTGTCAACCGAGGGAGCAACCAAGACAGCCTCCAGTGAGTCAGGGGCCGCCAAGAGAGGCCCATTTCCTTGATATGGAGTCTCACATGTCGCCTAGTTTGACCCCAATGGCCCCTTCCATCTCAACTTGCTAGCACACACCATCATCCCTGGCTTGAGGATTCTTTAAGATGACTTGACTGAATGCTCAACTGAATTTGGCTTCACTGAAGACAGTTACATGCCTGGAGAGAGAGGAATGAACGAAGGACACCACAATAAATACATTCTTTTAAAGGTCATGATGGGGTTCAGAGAAAAGAGATTTATATAGCAAAGGAAAAGTCATACATTATGAGACTTAGCTACCATGTGCATTTGAACAGTCACAGAGAAGTTTGCATTGAAATATCAACAGGAGCAAAAGGTGAGTGAACATGGTTTTCTCTCTACAGAGTGGGAGGTGGGTGAATTAGGGGACTGGTTTTTGCTATGTTAGAATAGACTGACTTGAGACAGCTGTGGGAACTCACCAACTCTAGACTGACAGCTGGGGAGCCTGCATGGGACTGAACTAGGCCCTCTGCATGTAGGAGACAGTTGTGTAGCTTGGTCTATTTGAGAGGTTCCTGGCAATGAGACCAGGATCTACCCCTGGTGCATGAGCTAGCTTTTTAGAGCCCATTCCCTATGGTGGGATGCCATGTTCGGCCTTAATGCAGGGGAGAAGGGCTTGGTCCTGCCTCAACTTAATGTGCCAGGCTTTATTGATTTCCCATGGTACCTTTGAGAGGAGTGAATGGGCGGGGGGGGGGGGGGGGGGGGGATGAGAGGAGGGGTGGGCGGGAGAACTGTGGTTGGAATGTAAAATGAGGGAAAAAAAAAAAGAATAGCCTGACTCAAACTGAAGCTCATACCTTTGAGTAAAGTATAGACAATCTAGGGGCTGGAGAAAGATGGCTCAGCAGTCAAGAACACACACTGCTCTTGCAGAGGACCTGAGTTCAGTTCCCAGACCCATGTCATGCAGCTTATAACTCTGACTCCAGTTCCAGGAGACCCAACGCCTCTGGCCTCCTGCACTCATGTGTACCCTATCTCACACACACACACACACACACACACACACACACAGAGAGAGAGAGAGAGAGAGAGAGAGAGAGAGGAGGGAAATCAGCCTCTATATATTACCTCGTGTAGAGACAATCCCAGGCCAGGATGAGAGCAAATGGCAGTTCATGATTAAATCATCATGTCACTACTCAGCTCTCCAGGCAGGTGATGTAGCTGTTTGTTATGTCTCCCCCACACGCACATCGACACTCATGCACACACACACACACACACACACACACACACACACACACACACACACATTGAACAGCACTGAGCACACACATTCCCTGCATTAAACAATCATATGAATAGGACAGGTTCAGAAACCAGTGCTTACACTGACACATGTAGAAGAACTAAAGCTTTCAGATGAAATAACCCAGTGTCTTAGGCTTGTCTTAAAACACTCCAAGAAAACAAACCAACAAAACTGTGTGTGCAGTGGGGTAAATCATTATTAGCAAAGTAATTCTAATAGCTGATAGGGACATGAATCTCTTCTTTCCTTATCTGTGTACACTTTGAAACTCATTATAAGAAAGGGATGGCAACCAAGTTAATGGCATAAGTATACTAAACTTGTTTGAGAGTTGGCAAGGTCTGCATAGGAGAGAAGTCAGAGGGCTGAAGAGATGGCTCAGTGGTTAGGTCACTTGCTACATTTGAGGATCCACATGACAGCCTGCAACAGGCCGTGACTCTAGTTCCAAGTGATACAATGCCCTCATACCAGACACACATGTAGTACATGTATATACATTCAGGAAAAGCAGCCAGACACATCAAAAATAAATACTTTCTTTTAAGTCAGAGGAGAAAAAAATCATGCAAGGGCTGGAGCAACAGTGGCAGTTAAGTGCGTCTGCTGCTCTTGCGGAGGACCTTGGTCCCATCCACTGGTCGTTCATAACCATGGAAAGCTCCAGCTCCAGGGGTACAAAGCCTCTGGTCTGTCTCTACAGGCATCTGCTCTCATGTGCGCACACACACACCTACATCACTTTTAAAACTAAAACTTTTTAAAACTGTGTCAAAGGCAAATATTGTATCTGGCCTTTCAATGACTCTGAGACGCTAACCAAAACCTTTACGGGCCTCTGAATGAAGATGTGAAAGAGGAGGCTGGCTAGAGTATGAGGTCACTGAGAAGGGTAACAGTTTCCCCTCCAGATACATAGCACCTTCAGTGGAATACCCCACCCAAAAGTCCTCCCAAGGAGCAGGCTCAGGTGTGCCCAGATTGCCGCAGCCCTCTAAGCATTCATTTTCCATCTGCTAGACAGTGACAACCCATTCAGAACAAAACATCTGCTTGTGGCCTTAGGAGTGGGGTGCAGGGACAGGCACCTAGGGGGTTTGCACTGAAGTGGCATGTGTCTAGGGAAGACCAAGGGGTCCATGCTTGAAAGGGGGCTCCCAGCAAAACTCAAGGGCCTTCTAGAGGCTGAACTGTTCAACAGCTCAGAAAGTTTCTCTCTAGGTTGGTTGGGACTGGGTACACTTTCAGTTTCCTTTATCACATTGTCACAGACAGACTGAGAGGTTCATGTGGGTATGAATTTATTGACAGAATTTCTGTTAGCAATTATTCTAACACAGAGTGCACTGCACAGAGGCAGACATGACAGCAAACCCAAGGGCTCTAAAGGATTCGAGGCTCGAGGCTTGTCACCTCCTTGTCACCTCCAAGGGATGGAGGGAAGGAGAGGGAAGGAGGGAGGAGGAGATGGGGGAAGAGAAGGGGTGGAGGAAATGAGGGAGGGAAGAAAGGGGGGATGGGGAGAAGGAGAGAATGTTTAAAAAGAATCTGAGACATCTTTCAATTATCAATTATAAGAAATGACAATTCAGGAAATAATGACATCTGACAATTTAAGCATTTTATCCAGAAACATATATCTATACCATAGATACCAAATCCATTACCATATAATTGAGTTTGAAAATATACAAAATATTTGTTGTTCTTACATACTGAAATTAAATCCTAATTTCAAAAAGTGCACAGTAAAAACAGCATAAGGAAACTTACAATATCCATGGTTATGTCTATTGTTTTCCATTTGACTGTCAACATCAAATTCTGTATTTGCCTTGCTGTTTACAAATGTACTTCAAATGTCTCAAGGTCACGGACAACACTGGCTAGTTTACTAGGTCCAATGGCACTTCAGCTTCCTGGAGGCCACAAGCGCTTGGTTGTGGAGTCTGCCCGGGGACTCCGGGCAGCAGCTGTAGTCGGTCTGGACGGCACAGTCCAGTCACTGCCCAGCTCCTCGACAACTATCGATTCCTGTTCTTCTTAGAATTTCCCTGTGCAAAGAACAATGGCCATCATAAGAGCACAAACTTCAGGAACAGCACTCACACAGTTTAGGAAGCAGGCTGTCTCCTGTGGAACACTCTGGCTCCCCAGATGGAGAGCAGCTGACCAATTCCCTGCATGTCAGTTTTTATTCACTCATCACAAAGCTGGGACTTTCCCTGCTCCCAACTTCCATGGACCCAATCCTTCTCGGGGCCAAGGGTAGACAACAAAGAAAAGAAGGGACTACCCAGCTTACCAACATTTCCTTTCTTCCTTTTCCTTTTTTTTTTTGAGTGAGGGTTTCTCTGTGTAGTCCTGGCTATCCTAGAACTCACTCTGTAGACCAGGCTGGCCCCCAAATGACAGAGATCAACCTGTCCCTGCCTCCCAAGTGTGGGGATTAAAGGCTCGTGCCACTACCAGACAAAATAGTTTTAGCTCCAATATGATTTTTGTTGTTTAAATAAACAGGTTTGACAGCAGTGGTTCTCAACCTTCTTAATGCTGCAAGCCTTTAATACAGTTCTTCCTGTTGTAGTGACCCTCAACCATAGTTATTTTCATTGCTGCTACTGTTATGAACTGTAATGTAAATATCTGTATTTTCTGGTGACCCCAGAGAGGTCGAGACCCCCAAGTTGAGAACCACTGTTTTAGAGTTTAGAGTACTGGTACACAACACACTCCAACATGGTGGTTTGGCATAATTCTCCTATCTTTGGAGAAGTTCACTTCTTAGGACTACATTCTAATTACACGCCTGAATGATAAGGCCCACACACCACTTCTTCCCATAAGTGGGCAACATTTGCAGAGCACAGACACTAAGAACAAGACTGTAGCACACACAGTGGAGATGTTTACTCGGTATCCAGCAGAGACAATGCTCACTTGGCTGTAAGAAGACACTACAGCAATATAAATTACTAATAACTAGAAGAGTGTGCAAAACAGGTTTATGTCAGGTTGATATAGCTGAAGTCTTATAAGAGGACAGAACATCAATTAAGAAAATGTATCCATAAGATCAGGCTGCAGGCAAGGCTATGGGCATTTTCTTAATTAGTGATTAATGGGGCAAGGCCCAGCCCACTGTGGGTGAGCAAGCCAGGGGAAATAAGCCAGTAAGCAGTACCCTCCAAGGTCTCTCTATCAGCTCCTGCCTCCAGGTTCCAGCCCTCCTTGAGTTTCTGTCCTGACTTCTTTTAGGGATGAACAGTGATGTGGAAGTGTGAGCCAAATAAACCCTTTGTTCCCCAGCTTGCTTTTTGGTCACAGTGTTTCCTCGCAGCAATAGTAACCCTGACTAAGACAAGAAGAAAGCAAAACACAGGGCTTACAGAATGACCAAAGAATGGTTAAGAACCCCACTCTGAGCTGAAGGGAGGCTTCTTACTTGGATCTAATAATCCAGGTATTTTAAGGAATAATGTTTAGAGAAAACTTGAAAGTTCCAGAATTTCTGCAGAAGCTACAGTCCAACTTGCTCACCTCACACAATGTGTGTGCAGAGAGGGGCTAAAGCATTTCTCTAGAGTTGCTGTCACTGTTTCTTAAATGCTAGGTGCTACAATAAATGAAGTCATAGAAAACCAAAGATGATCTCTTTGGTGTGTGTGTGTGTGTGGTGTGTACTCTACTGTGACCAGAAATATAACCAAGTCATGAGAGTAAAGGGAAGCATTCAGGAAAGGACCACACCTCCTGCCTACAAGGTCACACTTCCAGAAGCACAAGTAGCTGGAAAACCATAATGAGAAACATACTGGCTGCTCAGCACACAGAGATTGCCCAGACAAGTACCAGTAGTGCCTCCCCACACCGTGAGAAGTCAATGAACATCCTGAAACTGTGCTGAGGAGGGTTGTGTAACGCCGGCTCCAATGTAGCGACCCACCATGTCCTCCAGGGAAACCTGGCTGAGCAGGGACTGGGTCTACTCCACCAGTGTAAACTACAGCTGCATCTCTCTACCGCCTCCTCAGCTCACAGGTGGGTAGTAGAGGACTGCCTGGCTTACAAAAATGCACCAATCGTCTGAGATGGTGCAATGCCTGGTGCCATAAAGCTTACATTCATAGAAAAGAGGCTTCATATGACCCTTCATTAACAGAGACATGGTACATGGAAATGCATCCCATCCTAAGCACATTACCCAGTATCTGCTGACTGGTTCAGTCACAGGCTCTATGAGAAACAAAAATCAACAGGAATCCTGGAGATACAATGATTATCATTCCTAGGTTATCTGGGAATAAATAAGGACTCCAGTTCACTCCTGGGCAAATACCCAAAGGAGGCCATTTCCTGCTGCAGGGACATCTGCACATCCATGTTTATTGCTGCTCTATTCACAGCAGCCAGGGAACGGAACTAGACGCCCATCAGCAGATGAAAAGGTAATGGAAAGGTGGGGGATATGTAATATGCAATGTTATTCAGCTGTAAAGAAAAGTGAGATCTGCAGAAAAATGGATGGGTGTGGGATGCATACTACTATCAGAAGTGACCTAAACTGAAAATGAAAAAAAAAAAAAAAAGCACATGTTCCCCCATATATGTATCCTAGCCTCTAATGTAAACAAGTATGCATGTAAACAGGTCTAAGTATGGATAGGTACAACTTAGAAAAGAAATCAAGAGAGGGTAACATGAGGACACAGTGTAGGCAAGGGGACACATGGACACATGATTTTGTTTGTTGTTGTTGTTGCCAGTTTCAGCTCTGTTTCTTCTTTGTGTGGCTGCAGTGGATAACTGAATAAAACTGTAATGGATGGACAGTGCAAAGACAGAGCCCTAAGTGAGGCCTGGGGTCTCCCAACACACAGTTCACTGAGAGGGGCAGAGTTTGGGACTGGGTAAGGGTCTCAGTGGCCTCCTTCAGCTGTGTGAGCCTTTTGTTTGTGAATTAATGAGAATAAATGGTTTTACTGAATGAAACAACCTTGTAGGGGTCACCCAAATACCATTAGGATCTTATACAGACATTGTGGTCTCCCTCCTGAGGCCATCTGCTAGTCCCCCTCATGCCTACACACAGCAAAAATGTCAAAGCTTAGACTCAGTCAAAGAAAGGAGTTTCTTTTTGGACAGAAAAAGGAAGTGAAGATGATTCACAAGCACTTACTCCTAATCTTCCTCTTGAAACACATCACAGTGAAGTATCCCCACAGCTGCACTGAACACCCCCATGTCCCCACACATACAGCCGCACTGAACCCCCATCCCCCCACAGCTACATTAAACCCCCACCCCACCCCACCCCCACACACACCTTACTGGACATCTTCAGCGTGTCAATCTCCTCCCTCTGCTTGGACAGGGTCTCGTTCATGCTGCACAGGTGGTCACTCATCATGCTTAACTGGTCCTCGTAGCTCCTCTTGGTGGTCGTCAGCTCATCCTGAAGAGCAGGGGCAAAGAGAGGCCTGTCAAAGACACTCCTTTATTACAAGCATCTGGAAACCTATCACGACGGCCTAACTGATCAGTGAACACAAAATTAAGGCATGGGGCCAAATGGAAGGACAAAGTGAAAAGAGACTCGGGGAATGGATCAGGGTCAGAGACCTATCTAATCAATGAAGTGTTTGCTCTGCAAGCAGGAGGCATCCCTAGCACCCACATAGAGAAGCTGGGTTGGGTGGTACACACTAGGAATCACAGCACTGGGGAGGGAGAAGGATCCCTGGGACTCACCGACAAGCTAGCCAGCCAACTTGGCAAGTTTGAGGCACATGCTTACACAATGTACCTGTGCATGACATGTAAGCACTCTCCTTGGCTGGGTACAGAACTGTCAAAAGCCTGAGGCGAACTGACTCTTCAAAGCACCCTAGTTTTCAAAGGCCTGGCACAGACCCCAGCCTTCTGCACCTTCCCAGGCACAAGGATCCGCCTCCTGTCTCATGCTGCCCTCAGCGCCTTGAATGTCTCCTAAGCAATCTAAGAAGTTGATCTGGAACACAGACCACTGTGTCCCTGGGTTTTCCTGTGTCTACCTCAGGTTGATATCAACAGAGGCTTCCTGAAAGGAGAGGTCTGAAACTGGAATTTGATTTATTTACTTATGCATTTATATACATATTGAAGCAGGGTCTCACTGTGTAGCCCTGGCTGTCCTGGAGCTCACTGTGTAGACCAGGCTGGCCTGGAACTCAGAGGTCCTCCTGCCTCTGCCTCCAGAGTATTGGGATTAAAGGTGTGAGCCACCATGACCAGCAAAAGCAAAGCTGTGAAACTGAGCAGTGAGGAAGGAGGAATGTTTTGCAGCTGCACTCTTGGGTTTATTTAGGCCAGTTTCTGAAACAAGATAGAACAAGCCTGCAGGCAGTGATGATGAGTGTTTATTTAAGAAAGAGGAGAAAGAAGAATTTTGGGTAAGTACAAATAAACAAATGCAGACTATGGAAGAATTTGAAACAAACTTCAAATCAGAAACAAGGATGATGGCCAATCTTTGCCTGGTATAAGCAATGTGTCGCTTTCAGATGAGTTAGCAATCAAGTGGCTTGAAAAAGGTGTGTTGAAGGCCAGAAATCACCACTTCCCAAGGAAAGGCTGGGTTTGCTGGACTCACGGCAGTCAGTACATCCAGGGACTCACCTGAAGCCTGCTGCTGTTCTGACTGGCTAGCTTCATCTCCTCTGTCAGCGTCTCCTTACACTTCTCCGCCAGGGCTAGTCTCTTGGACAGCGCTCGGCACTGTATAATCAAAACATCCAACTTTATCCTGGGAAGATTGGTAGGTTATATAGTCACCAAAGCCCTCACTCACTCACTCTCTACTCCACCCCACAAACTCTCTGCTGAATACACTTGGTGGAGGACAAGGGTGGAAGATAAAGCCCCATCCTCTTATTTTGATAAGGAAAAAAAGGCCGGCAATCTTAGTCCAGTGATTGCAAAGCACATTAGTCTCCATTTACATGGGATCCATTTTTCCTCCTGATGGATGGAGGACCCTGGCTACCTTAAAAGCAGTCACAGGCTGCCTGCCAACCATCACCCTATCTAAGATGTTTCCTTTGGGTTTGAAATTCTTCACTAGAGACCCCAACACAGGAGCCACAACACCTTTATTATCCCACCCAGACTTACGCTGTCTGTATGGGGAAAGCGAATGTTTTCTCTAGAAGTTTTACTAAACCCAGATGATGCAAGACAGGGCAGATGAGAAAGAAAAGAGGAAAGTTTACTTCACATTATTGTTCAGGCAAGGGGCATTTGAAGACACACATTTGAATGCTGTGTGGACATCAGGATCTCCAACTGTCCTTTCCAGTAAAGTCACAAAGGGGAGGCACTACTTCCTGTTTGTTTATAGAGAACAAACTAGGACAATCTAAAAATTCTTGTGCCATAACTGTGCTGAAAACATTTACTAAAATAGGTAGATCTCATGAAAATGAGACAGCCTAAAATTTCCCTAGTTACTCATTTGTTCTCAAGAAAATTTCAGGACAGTTTGTACGATCCTATCAGCCTCTTCCCTCGTGCTCAGCACTGACCCTGACCAAGAGGAAGAGAGCAAGGATGGCACGGTCCACAGGAAGATGACAATCACATCTGGGACACGAATCCAGAGCAGACAGGGAACCAGAAATGATGGCATCAGTTGCACATACAGCTCAAGAAACAGCAGTTTCCCCGTCAGCCAGCCTGTTTGCTGACCCCCTCTCTCTAGACACTGTAACAAGCAGTCACAAGTGGCCAACCAAAAAAAAGGTGGTACAGCAGCTCCCTACACATGGGAAAAAACACAAAGTCCTTTTCTACCTCTAGCAACTGGCTGCCTGTCAACCTCTTCATCTCCCAAAGTGTACCATCCCTTCCTTTTCTGTGTAACGACTTAAGTGGTACAATTCTCTGCCTGTCTCTTTAATAAATTCTTACCATAAAGTGTGAGCCAGACTTAAAGACCCTACATGCACCCACCCAACCTTCTTTCCTCTTCATTCTTTAATATTTGTACGTATTTCATTCACTTCCCCTTCAACTTTGTAAACTCTATTTATAGTGAATAGTGGGTTTTAATTATATGAATTATTGAGTAAAGGAAGAAGAAAATGTGAAAAAAGATTTTATCTCTTACAAGTTAAATTAGGCGACCTTTTTCATTTTCTCACTCAAACTCAGTCCTATAGACATCTCATTTGGAAATGGGAACCCGCTGGGCTGGAGAGACAGTTCTGCTGGTAAACTGCTTGCTGTGAGAGCATGGGGGCCTAAGATCCTCAGCAGCCATGCAAGAAAGCCAAACATGGTGGCACAGGCCTGTTAATCCCAGAGCTGACAGTGCAGAGCCTGGGTCTAGCCAGCCAGCCCAACTGACCAATAGCTCTGGTTCAGTGTGAGGCTGTGCCTGAAAGAACTGGAGAATGAGGGAGGAGTATGTGACACTGACCTCTGGATTGCACAGGTGCACGCACAGATGTGTGTACATGTGTATCACGTGCACACACACACACACACACACACACACACACAGACATTGAGGAGAATTTTTAAAGATGGGCTGGCAAGATGGCTCAAAGGATAAAGGTGCCATCAAGCCTCATGACCTGAGTTTGATCCCTAACCCACATGGTAGAAGAGAGCCAATTCCTGTAAGCTGTTCTCTCGGGTCTACATGTGCTAGCACTCCCCCACATACACCCAGTGAGTAAATGTAAAACCAAAAGAGGTCAGGTGCATTTTACTGTTCACTTTGCCCATGTGAAAATCTCTTCATCTACGAGTATCCTCTACCACTAACAAGTAATCTCTACTAATCCTCCAAAACTCACAACACAGGGCCACAGAAAGGCTGCCTAAGCCCGCCATCTCTTTTGCAGGAACTTGGAAATGACACGTGAAGTCTTACACTTAACTGAAATGAAGATGCTGGAGTGGCATGTGGACTAATCACCACGAGTTACCAACCACCCAGAAACACGTGCACAGACACAGAAAGTGATGGCATCCCTCTTCCAGCAGATGGAGAACAGAACTGTGACCTGACTTGAAGGGTCAGGCAGAAGCAGCGATCTTATTGCCTCCACTCACCTCGGCGTAGAAGTGCACTGACTTACTGTCAGCCAGCTGCAGCTGAGACGTGAGCTCCGCTATCCTGGCCATGTAGTGATTCTTAATTAGGTCTTCACGGGACTCCACATCCGGGACCTAAGCAGAACACGGACCAAAGATGCTAGTAAGAAGGGCAGTTCTAGCAAAGGAAACAAAGACCACACTTTCCTTATGCAGCATCTGCCTGTGTCTGAAGGTCCCCAGAAGAAAACAGCACCAGATTGAAGTTCTGGGGAGCTTCCAGGCAGCATGGTTTCCATTCACCTGTCCACTCATTCTTGTTTTGTTTTGTTTTTTGAAGTAGAGTGCTGCCAAGCATCCAGGGATAAACTCAAATGCACAATCCTCCTGCACCAACCTCCTAAGTGCTTAGATTATAGGTGTGAGTCATCACACACAGTTCTGACCAGCTTTTATCAGCCATAAACCTAACTTTCAAAATCTCCATTTTTCTGATGAACATGGCCTCTTTAATCGGAAGGGGACAGAGAACAGGGGAATATTGGTTGGAACCCCTGGTTTTTTATTGATGTATAGACTATATACACATACAGTACTGGGTTTCAGTTTGTAAGTGCATATACATTTTGCTAGTCCTACAAACTATCTTCTCCCTCCTTCCATGAGTCCCCATCATTCCAGATAGTCATATTATGCTTTCCTGTATCTATATAAAATCTAGGACCACAAATGGGAGAAAACATGATATTTATCTTTCTGAACCTGACTTAGTCTACTTCATATGACAATCTCTAGTTATAGCCATTTTCTTGCAAACAATATATCATTCTTTATGGCTTCATAAAATTCCATTATGAAAATATACTACGTTTTTGGCATTTCTCTGCCGATGGACACCTAGTTTGATTGAACGATTTGGCTACTCCGAACAATGCTGCAATAGACATCTAGTGTAACCTCTATGTTATGTTGACTCGGTCCTGTGGAACCCTTATATTTGGAATATTGTTTTCTTCACCCTTAAATTTTCTTCAGGAAAATGGAGTGCTCATAAACACACTAATAAATTAAACAAAATTGAACTGTTTAGGGTCTTTGTTCTAGACTGTTCCAGATTGGCACTTTTCTGAGTTATACTAGCAATGACAAATAATTGAGCCAAATTTAAAAATTCCTGAAGCTCAGTATTACCTTTGAAATAAGTAAGAAAATGACAGAATGCTGAGTAATATTATATTAAGGTGTGTTTAATTCTGTGAAGCTGTGATTCTTTGTCTGTCCAAAACACCTGATGGTCTAATAAAGAGCTGATTGGCCAATAGCAAGGCAGGGGAGAGGAATAGGCGGGGCTGGCAGGCAGAGACGATAAATATGGGGAGAAATCTGAGAGAAAGGGATCTGGGTATGAGAGAGGAAGGAAGAGGACTTCAGGGGCCACCCACCCACCCACCCAGTTACACAGTCAGACACAGAGGAAGAAGGAAAGAGAAGGTATACAGGAACAGAGATAAAAGCCCCAAGGCCAAAGATAGATGGGATAACTTAAGAAAAGCTGGCAAGAAACAAGCCAAGCTAAGGCTGGGCCTTCATAACTAAGAAAAAGCCTCTGTGTGTGATTTGTTTGGAAGCTGGGAGGCCCCTCAAAAAGCCAAAAGAGTGAAACATTGCACAACAGAATCTACAAGCCTCCGAGGGCCATCATGGCCGCACTAAGTGATGAGCTCGGCTTCTTCAGTTTTTGTTTACTGGTCACTTGCAAAACCATATTTCAAGTACTTCAAAATTCAAATGTATGAGCACATGTGACAAGTCACCCAAGATCTGGGCTCACTCACAGTAAGCACACACGGAGGCCAGAGAAACCCTGCGCTCTGTCAAAACTGTGGAAGTCGGCCACTGAACAAGGCGCTTTAAACCAGGCTCTAAACCACCACCGGCTGCTTGCTGATGACAGCATGGAAGGAGCGACCAAAGCACCATGGAAGCACCAATGAGAGAAAGACACTCTCTTCCTTGTAAGAATCATCAGAAACACACACACAAAGACAGCCACCAGAATCGGTCCACAAACATACATCATACATGTACCAATAGGCAACATGATGTCGAGTGAACATTACCTCACTGTCTGACATCCTGGTTAAAATCCCAATCTAGAAGATAAAGAAAAAGCACTGTTAGAACAGAAGATCTACATTTCAGACACAAGAAGTTAACACCCTAGAGTGTGTTCTCTTTTTGGTCTGCGCTGGTCCACAGACCACTGGTAACGCAGGCCAGATCACTGTGGATGCTCATGGCTTCTGCCATGGGTCACAATGGTGACCACTGCCAAATGTTCTAACAAAATGCTGATTCACCCAACAAACTATCCAGGAGGAGCAGGAGGGCAATCAACTTCGACCCAATGGCATCATTTCCAACATCATCAACATGGATGGTCGGATGGAGACCACAATCACTGAACGTGCTGAAGGGAACACACAAATAAGCACTTTGTGTAAAAACTCAAAAGGAAGCAGCACACTTTACATAATGTTTCCAACACATCAATAAACATTAGTTTGAGACCTCATACAAATATATATGTAATTTTAGATAAATCAGAATACAACCCCATTTTTTCTCAAATTTGCTTTTATAGATTAAGACTTAAAAAAAAAAAATAGGACTGGGGGTGGCTCAGTGATAGAGAGCTCACCTCATACGCTGAGGTCCTAAGGTTCAATCCTAACCACTACCACCCTCCCTTAAAAAAAGAAAAGGATGTCAAAACCAGGTATGATTGCAGAATTCAAGTTACTGTCCAAGGCAGCAGGATGGGTGGAACACATGAGGACTTAGGAAAACTACTGGAGACTTTTCTTCTCAGTGGGTTCTGCTGATTAGGGATGACCTCCAGGGGGCTGTGTGCATAGATTCTCAACCATCCTCAAGTGTATCATAATACTCCCCAGCCTCTGCCCACCACCCTTTTGGAGATAGTTTCCCTCTATAACCATGGCTGGCCATGAAATCATGGCAAGCCTCCCAGCACAGACAGCCAGGTGCTGGGATGACAAGTGTGCCTGTGACTCTGAGGACTGGGTGCTGTGAGTTCATGGATGTTCCACCTATCTAGCTACAAAGAGTCTTCCGTAAGAATTTTTGGTTACAGAAGAGCTGCAATTTTCTCCTCAGGGAAGCACGAGCAGCCATTTGTCTGTTTCTCTTTAAGTTAAAAACTGTTTATCACAAAGCTATGTCTGTGCCCCTTTACTACTCCTGCTCCTTACTCCCAGGTTTGAAAGGTACCACACAGTCCTTCAAAGGAATGGACTATATATTTCTCATATTCTACTAACAAGAGTACAAACCTAACAATCTTGTTAGAACATATTTGATGGGGTTGGGGATTTAGCACAGGGGTAGAGCACTTGCCCAGCAAATGCCAAGGCCCTGAGTTCAGTCCTCAGCTCCAGAAAAAAAAAAAAAAAAAAAAAAAAAAGACAAAAAGAATATATTTAGTAATGAGGATCAACAAACTTGTAATATTCATGTCTTCTAGCTCTGTAGTTCTTTAAGACTTATTTTTAATTATGTACACACATGTATATGTGTGTATGGGTATGTGCACCATGAGTTCAGTGCCCCTGAGGTTTAGATGAGGGCATCAGATCCCCCCGGAGATGGAGTTACAAGAGACTGTGAACTGCCAGACCTGGGTGCAGGCAACCAGATTCAGGTCTCTCACAAGAGCAAGACCTGCTCCGAGCCACTGAACCATGTCTCCAGTCATATTAGGTAATTCTAACCTTAAACTAAGAGTGATGTACCCCAAGGAAATCACCTAATATGCAGAGAGAATCCTACATAAAAATGAGATGATAGTTACCTATGCTCAACCACAGGGAAGCTAAAACACGTTAGATAAGGAACACTGTGGAGTCAGTGTCTAGAAGGGTAGATGTGGAATACTGTGGAGTCAGTGTCTACAAGGTTAGATAGGGAACACTGTGAAGACAGCTTCTAGAGTCTCTGATAACACAATATGCATTAACTTTATCCTATAGCACAATTTTTATCAATCATATATAAAATTTTTTATAAAGAAATTTAATAGTAATATGTATTCAGGATAATGTCACTGATTTTTTTTTTTACTCCTGTTATTTTTAGTTACCTCTAGTGTATGTGGATAATTTTTATATCTAAAGTAATTTAGATATAAAAGTCCACTAATTTAAGCAATGTTTTTAATTAAACAAAATGTGAACATTTGTATTGCTCTACATTTTTTTTCTTTCTTGAGATTATTATCTGTTTTTACAATAATGAACCCGTGGCTATGTGGTTGAATTCAGTGCTGGATAGTTTAATGAAAATAATTAACATTTGGCCTCTGAAATACTACAGGGCTTCAAACAGTCAATTTATATCTGGTACTGCTCATTTGGCCTTAAAGTGACCTCTTAGATTGAAGGCTGTGTCCCTTTTGAATCAACTGATGCTGAACCAGGCAGGCTTGTTTCGTTTCTCTCACCCAAGATAAAGGCAGTTCAAGGTGTGGTCACCCATAGCCACAGCCACAGATTTAGGTCACTGTGTTTACCTAAGGGTGGGCAGAGGAGATTTTAAAAGGCTGCAAGGCAGAAACAGCAAAATCAGCAACGGGTCTCTTCACCCTGCTGTCTGCCCTGTGGGAGGCAGGGCCAGGCCCTCTGGCAGGGATCTGCCATGTGCGGCAGAGAGAGAGAATCGAATGGGCAAACTTTTCTCATCTGCATCGCCTGCCTTCAACTCCTGATCAGATTTAAAACCCTCTCAGGTCACCCCTCCTGTGACATCGTTCTCCACCGACTGACCTGCCCTGTGACTTCACAACACTCCATGCAGAAGGCTAGGGAGTTCATGTTAGATCAAAGGCAACCAAGGGAGGGCAAGAATTCCACTCTATACCGTAGTGCGTGAATAAGAAGAGGCACCAGCCTTTCTCGAACTTCGAACATCAAAGACAGTATCTGAAATAGCAGTATGCGGTTCAACTACGCTTAAATTCCAATTAGAGTTAAATTTGAGAGTCAAAGAGGAGGAAAGAGCAGCTGGTGAGAGGAGGCGGCACCACGGTGACAGGAGTCATGAGTAAGCAGGTACCCGGGTAAAAGAACAGTTTCAAAGGCAGGCGACTCACAACACAAAGCTGAATATCAGAAGCAGCATTCAGTGTGGTTCACACAAGAGAAATGAGCACGATTAGGCCTTCAATGGCAAACAAATGGACTGAATTCTACAAATAACAGAAAGCCACTCAGCCCAGGAGTTAGAGAGTGCTCATTCTTAAATAGACTCTAGGAAAAGCAGATGGCACCTTTAGGAGGTGACAGGCAGGCACAGAAGACAAGGCTGTGTGTACACATGCTAACTGAACACCCTACTTAAAGCAAGAACAACTTCCAAAAGCACCAGCCACCCCCACACACAGTACAGTCGCCACTCAGGCCCAGGCCCAGTGCTGCTTGGTATGGAAGGAGCTTCATGTCCCCGGGAATTCTTGTTTACATGGGGAAGAGTGTTCACCATTTCAGGGTTCAAGGAAAAAACAGGCCTCAGCTTTCAGCCACTGACATCACTGCCATGTAGACCAGTTTCCAACGCCATCTCCTCAGAAAGCCAAGCAGCCAATGAACACAAGATTGAGAGTGTCCCCGAGTGCACTGTTTCTGCGCCCACTCATCTTCAATAGTAGAATGGACAATGCCTCCAGTTTCACACCCCTACAATTCCACCCGAGGATGAACTGAGGTTACACACTTCCACGTTTGCAGATGCAGTTTGACAAATTATTACGACAGTCCCTGCAGCAACTAGGGGCATAACCTCGGGCTAGGCTGGTGCATGGATACTTCCTGGCCATCAGCAACTCTACAGCCAGCACAAGTGTAAGTGAAAAGGAATGGATGCAGGGTAGGGGTTGAAGGGGTGGAAGGATGTCTGACAGCGGAGAACAGTCAGACAGTGGAGAACAGTCAGACAGTGGCAAACAGTGAGACAGTGGGGAACAATCAGACAGTGGAGAACAGTCTGAGAATAGAGAACAGTCAAACAGCAGAGAATAGTCTGACAGTGGGGAACAGTCAGTGGAGAACAGTCAGACAGTGGAGAACATCAGACAGTAAAGAACAGTCTGAGAGTAGAGAACAGTCAGACAGTGGGGAACAGTCAGACAGTGGAGAATAGTCTAACAGTGGGGAACAGTCAATGGAGAACAGTCGAACAGTGGGGAACAATCAGACAGTGAAGAACAGTCTGAGAGTGGAGAACAGTCAGACAGCGGAGAACAGTCAGACAGTGGGGAACAATCAGACAGTGAAGAACAGTCTGAGAGTGGAGAACAGTCAGACAGCAGAGAATAGTCTGACAGTGGGTAGCAGTCAGCAGAGAAGAGTCAGACAATGGAGAACAATCAGACAGTGGGGAACAGTCAGACAGTAGGGAAGAGTCTGCAGAGAATAGTCTGACAGTGGGGAACAGTCAGACAGTGGGGAGAACAGTCAGACAGTGGGGAACAATCAGACAGTAGAGAACAGTCTGAGAATAGAGAACAGTCAAACAGCAGAGAATAGTCTGACAGTGGGGAACAGTCAGACAGTGGGGAGAATAGTCAGACAGTGGGGAACAATCAGACAGTGAAGAACAGTCTGAGAGTGGAGAACAGTCAGACAGCGGAGAATAGTCTGACAGTGGGTAGCAGTCAGCAGAGAAGAGTCAGACAATGGAGAACAATCAGACAGTGGGGAATAATCAGACAGTGGAGAACAGTCTGTGAGTAGAGAACAGTCAGACAGTGGGGAACAGTCTGTGGAGACAGTGTGACACACTGATGAGGATAGGATGACTCTGGAAGTGGTTCCTTCAGTAATTCAAGGGTGACTAGGCTGCCACACTATCAAACAATCCTTGGCCAGATTTTAAATTCAATTATTTATTGAATGTCTCATCCATGTATCTGCTATTTAGTTCAATAAAAACATGCTGCTTTTGTTTACTGTTTTATATGTATGTATTTTTTTTTCTGAACAATCTAAGAGATTGCTCAGTGGATAAAGGCACTCAGTGCCAGACCCACATGGTAGAAGGTGAGACCCTCCATGTATGGCCATGTATGGCTCTGGACACTTCCACACCATAAATAAACTGAATAAAAGTAAGCACTGACATCATAATATCTTATCCTAAATCTGACTTTTATCTAAAAAGAAACCTGAAGATAGGTCTCTAATGCAGAGGTTCTCAACTTGTGGATCATAACCCTTTAGGGGGCCGCGTATCAGATATTTACATCACAATTCATAACAGTAGCAAAATTACAGATATGAAGCAGCAATGACATAATGTTCGGTTGGGGTCACCACAGCATGAGGAACTGTATTAAAGGGTCCCGGTGTTAGGAAGGTTGAGAACTACTGCTGCAATGCTTACAACGCCATAACCACACCTAAAAAGACAAGTCCTCTGGGATTGAACACTGCTGAGAGAGAGGCCTGTGCCTGTCTTGGGAATAAAAGCGCTCGTACACCTGTCACATATGGCCTCTACTAGATGCAGGTAAGTCTGAGGCACCAGGAGGGTGGTGGCATCAGTGAGCCAGCTGATACCTTTGTATGTACCTGAGCAATGCATCCTGTGGAGGCACCACAATTCTCTTCCTCCCCTCCCCTGCACAGCTCCCCTCCCCTCCCCTGCACAGCTCTCCCCCCTCCCCTATACAGCTCCCCTCCCCTGCACAGCTCCCCTCCCCTGCACAGCTCCCCTCCCCTGCACAGCTCCCCTCCCCTCCCCTATACAGCTCCCCTCCCCTGCACAGCTCCCCTCCCCTGCACAGCTCCCCTCCCCTGCACAGCTCCCCTCCCCTGCACAGCTCCCCTCCCCTGCACAGCTCCCCTCCCCTCCCCTGTACAGCTCCCCTCCCCTCCCCTGTACAGCTCCCCTCCCCCTCCCCTGTACAGCTCCCCTCCCCTCCCCTGCACAGCTCCCCTCCCCTGTACAGCTCCCCTCCCCTCCCCTGTACAGCTCCCCTCCCCTCCCCCTGTACAGCTCCCCTCCCCTCCCCTGCACAGCTCCCCTCCCCTGTACAGCTCCCCTCCCCTCCCCTGTACAGCTCCCCTCCCCCTCCCCTCTACAGCTCCCCTCCCCTCTACAGCTCCCCTCCCCCTCCCCTCTACAGCTCCCCTCCCCTCCCCTCTACAGCTCCCCTCCCCCTCCCCTGCACAGCTCCTTCCCCCTCACTTGCACAGCTCTCCTCCCCTCCCCTGCACAGCTCCCTCCCCTCCCCTGCACAGCTCTCCCCCCTCCCCTATACAGCTCCCCTCCCCTGCACAGCTCTCCTCCCCCCTCACCTGCAGAGATTGCTCTGACTCTGACACCTCCCCTCTCTGATTTCTCTTTTTCTTGACTTTCCTATTTTGTTTTTTATTACAGGCAGAGAGTGTAACTAGAAAACTTTATAAAAATAATCATGAATGCTGCAAATGCCAAGACAGCTGTGTCTTTACCTTCTAAATCTCAATAATCAAAAAGAAGGCAGGGTAGGTGAGACTGTCGGCCCAATGACCCCTGACAAGAAACCAAACCGTGCACCTGGGATATTCTATGTCGCATGCACATTCCAAGCTCTGCACTTGCTGGGGCACACTATGAAATTCTTTTAAAGTGGCCTTAGTGGTCATCCTAGAAAAGTTAGGTGTTTGTGGGGTTGGAAGTTTAGCTCCGTGACAGACCACACACATAGCAAATACAAGGTTCCGGGTTCAATCCTCAGTGCAGAGAGGGTGGGGGCAGGGTGGAAAATCCCAAAAAAGACCAAAGAACAAGAAAGTTGGGTATTGGTCCTTGGTTGGAAACAATTCCATCTTGGAACTGTTTTCAGGAGGAGCAGGATCATACTAGATTTGACTTACTGCATCTTCTCCAGAAACAGCTCTGGCCACGTGGACATCCAGTAAAACCTCATATAATTTAGCAGAGTTACTTTCTGAAGAGACAAGCTGCTTTTATTTAAAGCACAGAGAGAAACGGACATGTTATTTAGATGAGCTTATTTATGTCTCTCTGAAATTCACACATGATGGAATTAGGAGGAGGGCCCTTGGGAGATGTCCTACTGGATAACAGAGACTCAGGAGGCTGGTTCACCACTTTTGACATGACTGGAAAGACAGCCAGCAGTGAACCAGGAAGTGCACCCTGGAGAGGCACCGCCTCTTGGACTTCCCAGCCTCCTGCTGCTGCCACTGTTTTCTTATAGGAATAGGTTGTGTCTTTATCAATTACCACTAAAATAAACTGTAGGCAAGGGCAAGCAGGAAGACACTCACCAGACTGGCGCTCTGCACAGGCTCTGACGGGACCTTGGCTGCAGCTTCCTCCTGGCAGGGAGTTGTGGACACAGTGGCATTTTCCTGGACCAGCCCAAGCAGCTGTGCACTGCTTGTACTCCTCAGCCTATCTGCCATCCGCTGGTTTTCTTTCTCCAGCTTGATTTTGGCTAACTGTGCTTCTAGCATCCAATGTTCTTTTTCCTGTTCCAGTTTCGAAATCTTTTCCAAACTCTGTTGAACCTTAAAAAGGGAAAGATTTTCCATCTTTGAGAATGACAGGGACAGAACGTAGTGGGGGCTGTAAAAGCAACAAACAAATGCTGGGTATTTGTTATATGAGACATCAAAGGAATAATCCTAAATTCAAAAAATGAGCCAGCTACTTAAAAATCTGTTTCCATCAAAGGATTCATGGGAAGACAGCTCAGTCAGGAAGTGTGGATCTGAGTTTGTTGCCCAGAACTCGTGTTAACAAACAGTCTGGAAGTGGAAGTGGACATTTACAATCCAGGCTCTGTGGAGATGAAGACAGCTACCATGTAGCCTACATGGTGAGTTCCAGGCCAGTGTGCGAGCTCTCCCTGAGTGGGGGATGAGGGGAGGGGTGGGTGATGTGGACAGTGCCTGAGAAATAACAGTAGCTCAAGGCTCCTCTGGCCTCCCTGGGCCTGCGCAATGAAAACATTCAAAGAACGCAGAAGGCTATGAAAAGCATCCAACACAGTTGTGTTCACTGCCCACACGAAGAATCCTTTGTGAACAGATATGTTTCAGTGGTACTCGAATTCTATATAGAATTCTTAAAATTCAAGAAAAATAAACCAAGGCAGAGAACAGCAAAAGAGAAACAGAGAGTCAGAAGCACTGGAGAATCGA